GTCATTCGATCGGGTGGGCCTCGACCTGAGCACCCCCATTTTCTCGCATGGGCAGGCGTACGTCGCCATCTCGCGATGCAAGTCACGCGACGGGGTGAGGATTTTGGCGGCCAACGACAAGATGGCCAATGTCGTCTACAGGGAAGTCCTCGCGGACTAGCCCTCTCTCCGTCTCTTCTCTCCAGCGCTGTTGGCTTCTCCGTAGTGCCAACTGATTGATGCCGCCATTCCCCAAGGTAGCATTTGGAAATTTGTCCTGATCGTCTCCCTTCAGATTACCCTCCGATCTCTTCGCTCCCCACCCATCTCCTCCTCATCAGTCCCGAGAAGCACCCGCCAAGAAGCCTGCCCAGCCACTCGATCGTCTACAGGGTGGGCAAAAAAAAAAGCCCACAGTTTGGGTCGAAATAACTCGCGAACGGTAGAGAATCGAAGGTACGTTACCACGCCAGAATGCTTAAATATGCTGGGTATGAAGATTTAACACAACTTGATTTTTTCGATTTTTGGCGACGTATCAATACAAATGACACCCGAAAACTGTGCGTTCGGGGAAACTTCATTTGTATTTTTCTCAGTTTCCTGTGGTGGCTGGCATCGAATTTTTATTATGTAAGGTAATATAAGCCGCAGATATGTACCTACAAAATTTAAGAATTTTTGAGGGTCTGGTTGAAAAGTTATAGAGGAATGAAATTTTGTATGGAGAAATTTCGTAATTTTTCGATATTAAAAAATCTTATGGTGGAAATGTCAAAAGAACGAGTTGTAGAATACCTACGGACTATGCACAATTGCATAAACACATTAAAAAAATTTTCGAGATCGACGAATTTTTGAGTTTTTCAACGACCCCCTGGTCATGGATTTTTCGAGGTATCGAAACTGAACTTGGGAAAAATATTTCTAAATTGCCAAAGGAGACTGAGCTGTTTTCTTTGCTTAGCTATGTAGTTCTGGGGTTGATCTATCATCTACAAAATTTCGAGCTACCGTACCCCTTTGGAAGGGCGTCTTTTAGGGCCTCCAAAACGGTTGGCTCGTGCTTTTTTACATACCTTGCCACCATGTTATAAATTTCAATCGCGCTATGAAAATTATCGTTTTAATTTTATCTGATAGCAGTGGAATAGCGCATCCTAAAGCCTTATTCATGAATTTTTTTAACCAGCCGTTGGCGCCAAGAAAATTCATCAAAACCCGAAATAAACCGAATTGGAGGTTGCGTAAAAAAATTTTGGAAGGTGGAGTCGTAGGGATATTTTGAGCAATAAGTCTGTGCTATCAGTTGAATAAAACTATGCAAAGATTAAAGCAATTTCACGTCGCAAACATTTTAAGAAGATTTCTAAACTTCGATTTTGGAATAGGGTGATCTTCGATTTTGAGCTGAAAGTCACCATAATCATGAATCAGATTGTCCCCAAATTTGACGGGCGTAGATAATAACATCAAAGCTATAACCGTATCCATAATACCCAGCTCGTTTTTTTATTTTGAAAAACTCGAAAATTGACCCGGCCACTCGGACCCAAAATCGGCTCTCTGGACTGGTTTTGCACTTTGCCTCGTAACTTTGTTATTTACCATCCAAAATCAGTCATTTTTGACAGGCTATCTTACAATCACCTCTAGAAGGTCCTCGAATAGAAAAATCGTCAATTTATGGAATTTTGCGATGGCATGCTAAAACGCGCTCCACGGGGGTTACTGTAGAAAATCGAAATTTGTGATTTTCCGGTGTTTTTGCCATGGAATCGCTTCGATCTTTTCGGAAAACCAATAGTAGCAGTTTTTGGACCAATTGATCAAAAAATTTACAAAATTCTGCCGCAGAATTAAAAAATAAGTTTTTAGTCTTTTTCATGAAAGTTTGTGGATAGTACGCTCTCGTATTTGGCAGTAAGGTGCCCCTACTTATTGCCTAACAACCCAGAAAATTTTAGCCGAATCGAAGCTAGGGGCCCCGAGAAAAGCGGGAAAAACGAAACCTACAGTACCCCCACTGGGGCACGTTTTAGCAAGCAATACAAAAATACCATAGATTGTGGTGGAATATGGTGTGGGATCCGAGATTAATATTTGGATAAGCCATTGGCGAAAAACCAGCCATAGGCAGTGAGTTATAAGCGAGTTATGACACCGAGAACAAAAATAACGAAAACTCGCGAAAATTGTTTTGTTTTTAAAAAATGAAATTGACCTCAAAAAATTCTAAAATTTTGCCATTACATTTCTACAAATTTATACTATTTTCAGACAAAAAATCAGGATTTTCCCACCACCCGTTCAAGAACGCACAATTTTCGGTCGCAACCAGCGTCAATAGTACAGTTTCGTACTCAAAAATCGAAAAAATCAAGTTGTGTTAAATCTTCATACCCAGCATATTTAAGCATTCTGGCATGGTAACGTACCTTCGATTCTCTACCGTTCGCGAGTTATTTCGACCCAAACTGTGGGCTTTTTTTTTGCCCACCCTGTACTCGCCCCTGCCCACTACATCCTACTACCTAAATATCTCTGCCCCCGCCGTTCTCTCTTCCTACACAATTTCCTGTCGTTGTTTGATAAATCTTGCTTGCTATACCCTGTCCCATCAACCTGGGAATTAAACTATTTCTAACAGTGCGACCTTTATATAGGGCTTAGACGGGGCCAGGGTTGATTCGGCGGCTACGCCGCCGAATCAACCCTGGTACAGATTTAAAAATTTTCGGCATGAAAATTTCCAAATAATGTTTTAGAAAATCAGGTCATGGTGAGCGCTTCGATAGTCGTTTAATTGTTGTGTGGACAGGGTCAGAAATTGATTTTTTTTGGTTTTTGGATTATCATAAGCATATTTATGATTTCTTTTGCGTTTATCTTGATATTTATTAGTGCTACTTACTTTTTATGCACTATTTATTAATGGCAACAATTAAAAGGCCGAAATTGGCGAGCAAAAAAAGAAATGAGAAGCAATTATTCACTTGGGTGAGCCGACGGTCGAAAAGATGTTTCTGGTATTCGGCTGCTGACTTTTGCTCGAGTACCTGAAATCTTTGCCACAAGACGTGATTTCAACAAATGGGCAACAGACAGAATTGCATTTAAATACATTTTAAATTAATCTTACCAAAAATAATTAAATTAAACACTTTACAAATTTTTATAAAATAATAGACAATATTGAAACCCTCATCAAATTAAATTCAGTCATTCAAAAGTTTTAGTATATCAGAAACACCTTTAAATTTTATTATCCACATTAAAGGGACAGGCAAGGCATTATTCTGGATTTTGTTGGCCTGGAATTTATTAGGTTTTCATATTTTATTTTCCGCGCCGTCAAGCGAGGCGTTTGCACGCCTTTGCCCTCCGTAATTGATTACGCTTTATTTATGCTGTGTGGTTCGCGAAGCGTGTAGCGGAAGCGAAAAATCCGAAATTTCGGCAAGACAAGTTTCGAACAATCGGCGGAAAATTGAGATGTTTCGCTAAATTCTAAATACAAAGAAAAGATGGTATTTGGTAGTGGTAGCTTCTCCCTGAAAATATAAAATTCTAGAAGGGTTTAGAAAAGGGGTCAAATCTAGAAAGTGGCGTTTAAAAACACTATGGAAGAAAAAATGCGTGTTTCGAAAATTTGCAATTTTGTGGCGTATGGAATGTTGTTAATACGCCCACTGGCTGGATTTGAGATTCTGCTAAGATAACGAGCGATTTTCGCTATCACTTTTACCTCGAGTTTTTCGAGATTAACCGCGGCACGCAACGGATACGTTTCGCTTGACAGGCATTACAAGGGCGTAATCGATTACGCGATGGAAAGGCGAGCGTGCGCGTCGCATATTGCGGGCATGAAATCGGTAAATTGAATAAGATCCATAGCTCGCCTTTCCCCGTTTTTAAACTTCCGATTTAAGCGGATACAAAATTGCCTTTACTCCCTTTAATACGACAAAATCAAGCACGGTTTAAAGCACGCTTTAAAATAATTTTAAGATCACTTTAAGAGCTTAACATCGTGATAAAAATATTAAAAGTATTTTAAATTAAGAGTATCCTAACATTAATTAATTATATTATTTATTAAACTAAAGCTGCGCATACCTCGCCAATCGTATGCAACGTGATGCGTATCTCCGACGCGTAACTCTCACGCAGCGACCGGGCGCTGTCCAGCAGACTGAGATTAAAAAAGTATGCATTTTTATATGGTTCCGGCAACCAACTAGACAAAATTAAACACATTTATTATTATGTAATAAAAACATTGGTTTTAAAATTTATCCAATTTAAATTGATTCAACCAATGAATGTCTATTAAATAGGAGTGACCTGCGTTTTTATCAGGAATTGACAAAACATTGATTTTTTTTCTTTCCACAAAAAAGCCCTTTAAACTTTTCTTAAGGATTTACTAGCCAGGGTTATTAACAAAATAAGTTTCATTGAATTTTAAAAAACCGCTTTGCGGTAAAACCGGAACCACCTAAGACCTGGGAGGAGCTAAAAATCTAGCGAGAATTTCGAGAAAAAAAGTTTCAGGGCTCTACGCTACCGGGGGATTGGTTAGATAGCTTAATGGGCCTTACGAGCAGCATATTTGTCCATAAATTTCAAATTAAAAAGTATGTAATTTCTGGTTTATTAAAGACGTATAATTCAAAAATTCTTACCTTCTCCGCGCGCTGTCCAAGCTGAACTGCTCGACGGGCATCGGGTATTTCAGGGGATTTGGGTGGGAATCGGCTGGGGCACATCTGAAATTTGATGCCTGAACTGTACCAAGAATTGAAATTCATTCGATTCCCCAATTTGCATTTTTTGCTTTTTAATCTAATTAAACGATGTAGAGTTTTAACGATTTTAACTTCGTGCACAAAATTAATAAAATTGACAGGTTTCCCCGAGGTCCTCCTCTGGAAAATTTAGTCGCGCGAATATACTGGGAATTGGCAACGCGAAATCAATCCAAAACTTGCTCGGCGCTGAAACCTGTTTTTTTTCTACTCCATTTTGCTAAATTGGAAATTGAAAATTTAAAACGCTGAAAAAGGGAAAAAGCGCTTCACCGCCATTCCCTTGTATTTAATTTTATCCGAAGAAGCAGAGAGATCAAGATTTTTGTTAAACTTTTAAGTTTGAAGCTGAATTTAAAAATTTGGTAGCTAACATAGCCAGTTTTCAATGAACTAGAAATCTATTCGATAAGAGTTTTGAAGGGGGGTTTATTAAAGCAGATACGGTAAGTACCATTAAGATTAAAAATCCGCAGAATTGGGTTAATTGCCCACCGAAATCCGAATAATAATTGCGGTAACGCGGCCCGGATCATCCCAGCGGCCAGTAGCAAAAACATGTTGCACGCGATTAGGACACCTGGAAGATGTGGGGTAGTATAATCAGGCCAATCTTGGATCTACATTTTTTCTGAATAACCGTTACCGATTTGACTTTGAGGAATCGGCGAGATAAAACATATCACCAGCCAGATGGCCGCTTCGATGAGTAGGGCGTTTTTTAGGAATTTTTCTGAAATTGGGGATTTAGGATTTTTGACGCATTTTCACTTTCTATTTATTTATTTACAGTCATAAAATTTTAGTTCTAATTATATTTTCTCCGAGGGGTAATTATATTAAAAATCAGTCCTGTTCACGGTTCCGGGTTCTTTCGCGTGATCGGGGGGAAAGGGGGAGCGGGGCCGAATTTTTGTCGTTTTGTGCAGAAATACCTAGTAACTTAATAGTAAGTGCTTATATAGTGTTTTTAGCAAACATTTACTAAATGAAAATTGCTTAAAAACTCACAAATTTTTCAAAATACGAAACTTTGGTGGAAAAAACCCATATTTTTTGGATCTTGTAATAAAGTGTTTGCGTTTATGTGTATTAAAAACGGTTGAGAAACGCTTACTCGATTTAGATTGGAAAAATTGGTTCCTTAGAAGAAAGTTCGTCCCCTCCCCGACAATGCAAAAGAACCAACGAATTAAATCCCTGGCCGATCGGTGTTAAGCAAATGTTTTAGTCACCCGCATGATAGAAAAATAGATTTCGTAATCAATTAAGCATCGTTCCTTTTGCTACGCATTCAACGTGATTTTTCCGGCTTCTTACAAAAAAATCGATGAACTGGTTTTTTGGCCTAAAAAGGTTTCTTATAAACTAATTGATTATTTTAAACGAAAAAAACATAAAAGTTATCCAAAAAATAATACATGCCGTTTCGGCAAGCTTTCAGCGCAGCTTTTCAAGCTTTCTTTCCGGATTTTCACAAAAATGTTTAGCTAGCTGACCTTAAAATTGTATGGTTAGATCTCCATAGTGAGTTTGTAGGAAAGAAACACAAGCTAATCAATTTATTAAAAACCAGGGTTGAAAAGCCGCTACGCGGCTTTTCACCCCTGGCCTTTGCGCGGGGATCTTTAAAAGTTGGGCTTTGCATAATTCGGGCGAAGAGCTAGAGCGAACCCTAAAAAATAGCAAAAGCAACCGGCCGCGAGCGCGACAAAAGCCAAAATGAGGCTCCTAGCGCCTCGTATGCAAATTAGTCTATTTCCATATGTTATTAAAACGTTAAAATAAGGTATAAAACGGAATTTTAGTAAAAATCTGATAAGCGTGCAGTAATCTACGCCCTCGACTACCGCTAACTACCTTATTTCTGGACCAAAAAATTCTTTCCCCTTCGAGTTATGGCTGGAACCCGGGTTTTTATGCAAAGTGTCTACACACACACAGACACTATTTTTTTATATATTTTTTGATTACTATGTTTCAAGAAAAATTCAAAAGGAATAATTTCTTGAGAGAGAGATGCCATTGGATCTGGAAGAGTCTGCTTAAAAAAGCTAATTTAACTTTTAAAATGTAAAAATTGTTTGATACGCACCTGAAATCAGAGCCAGCGTATTCAGCAGAAAAATTGCCCACAGCAGCAGCGTGAATTTGGCCGTGCATTTTCGCTTGAAATTCAGGGTAAATGTTGCCTGGAAATGGGATTACAATTAACGCGATGAAATCTAATTTTAATGACACATTTTGCCTGAGAAATACCTTAAAAATAACTTTCTAAATTATAATTTTTAATTTTTACGAACATATATTTCAAAAAATCACAAAAGCCTAATTTTATGTTTTTCGTTAATCGGCCAAGCTGCCGCAAGGTTAATTTTCATTTCCAGCTTCAAAACACCTTCAATTTTGATATTTCTTTGTCTGAAGAGTGTTTGTAAATTACCAAAAAAGTAATAATTAATAATATTAATCTACCATTCATATAAAAAATTGCTAAAATTACAAATCGCCAACCAAATCAAACTGTTGCCCCTGCACCGTGTAGAGTTGCGTCGAGGCCAATGTTTCAGCAATTTTCCACTTGGAATTTTCCTGAAACGTAGTAGTGGATCCAGGTAAAGCGTTTTCGTTGTGAATCTGGTTTTTAAAGGCGCTAACAAGACTGGCCCGCAAGACTTATTTTTGCCATAATAACCTTGTAGACATTATTTTGCGCTGAAATTAAAAGACCTAATCGATTTTTCACGCTGACGTGAATTTCGAAAGTGTCGAAAATTAGTTTGCCCCTTGTTACCCATGTTATTTTTGTTTTTACCATAACAAATTTGTTTACATTATTTTGGGCTATACTTATCGCTTCGAGCATATTTTTTGACGCTCTTTCGAGCCTCCTCGAAATATCGAAAAAATAACGAAGCATCGAAATTTTAGCTTTAAGATAACATGTTTCAAAAACCATGACCATATGAATGCATGACTTCATCTCAATTTCAATTCGAGTTGCGTCTTGGTAAAATTTGGATAAAAACCCACGATATTTTCGGGCTCTCCAGGCACAAAAACCGGAATTAGTCGCAACTCGGAAGCGTTCTTCTCAATTGAAGAGATTTCGAAGGCGCACGAGGCTAAATTAAACGCTTTTTAATATAATAAGAAATAATTTTCATGCTTAGTCATAAATTAAAAACAACTGGCGTTAATGAATTGAAATAAGCATGAAATAGGTACGTAGAGTAAGTAGTACATCAAGTTATAAAGAATGGAATTTAATGACTAGAAAAAAAAACACATTTTGGGAGACGCAGGTGTCCAAAATCACCAAAAAAATTTTAAAAGGTATCAATAAACGTAAATTAAAAAGGGAGGCTTTAATAATATAACGTTACTTAAAAAAACTACATTCATTCAGAGATTTTACCTCGATCCCACGGATAATCGCCGGCGTCCATTTTGCATAGAATATCGTAGAAACGAGGCTGAACAAAAATTTGGAACTTAAGTTTCATGCTTTCGAATAAACGTTGATGATTTTAATTCAAAATTCCTAGCAGAATGGACAAAATTCGAACTTGACGTTTGAAACTGTAGGTTTCAACTTCTGCTATGCTTCCGATGAAAAAATATATTCACTTTTTCCCGGCTTATATTTATTGAGCTAAATATTGGTGCTCCTTTTGGTTTTATTTTTAATTAATTTACACTAAAACATACTTTCTCGCGCATATCTTTTAAGAGGACCTAAATTGTTTGGAAAGCCATCGGGGTTTGATGTGGAATTCAAAAATGTTTCACTTTATTTACTGCTTCTATTGAAAAATTTGTGCTTAATACGGTGTTTACTGCATTTACAAATGTACAGGGTTCCTAAAACCTTAAATTTGCATTTCTACTGCGTTTTAAACTTTACGTTGTTTAAACCTTCCATCTGAAAACCTATTATAGAAACTGTTAGTTACCTGTCCATTTAAAGTATCATCCAGAATCGCAGAGGGAAACCTGAATAATTCGCGGCAATTTTAACGAAGATTACCGATTTATCAGCCGCAGCGATTGCAAATCCTTTGAAACAGAATTATTTCCTTGGGGGATCTGAAGAGTTAAAGTTTTACAACATATTTTTGGTTCCTCACCTCTTCCAATTCTATTAAAAAGCGTCCAACCGACGTGGTTTCGTCCTGAAAATGGTCTTATTATAATTTATGGTTATATTTTAAGCGCAAAATTATAAAAAAACCATAGAGACATTTCCGAGTTTGAACTTTGATTAAATGTGGTCTAGTATGGCCGACAATCTATATTTTCGTATTTTTTTAAGGAAAATTTGTAGGTTTTTACCCCTAGAAATAGTAAAAAACAGTGTTCCAACACTTTCTCTATTTATATTAGAAAAATTGGATCCTGATTAAGAGTTGGCTGCTCCCCCCAATAATGCGAAAGTACCGAATTACAATTTTTAAAACCATTTCCTACAAATCAAATTCAGGCATGCGACGAGGCGACTCAGATAATTAAGGAATTAAATTCATCATCCGTCTATCGAGTTTTTGAAACATTTGGCTTTATCGAGTTGCTGTCTCAGCTCTACATATCACTGTCATCTAATTTTTCTTTGACTCAGCACCGCTGCGGTTTAAATCCAACAAAGAAATTTTACAATTAGCTACCTACACCTAAAAATTATACTTCTCCGCCCACCCTGGGTGGGCCCCCCACCATCCCCCCTTCAGTCCCCTCTCTGTCCCCCCTAGGGGGGGCCCACCCAGGGTGGGCGGAGAAGTATACTAAAAATCAATCAATTAATACTTTTCTTCTGTGCATACAATTGGACTAAACTGATGTAACATCCAAATCTTGCTTAATTAAAACATTGAATTCTAGAGGCTCTAGAGGTCGCCAACGCCTTGTTAGCTTTTCGGAGCATCTTATGATTCAGCAATTTTTTAGGTTAAACGCTGTCGGTGCAATTTAATGGGCCAGACGCTCAGGCGAAATGCAATTAGCCTTTTTAAATTACTTTGAAGTATTTAATTTTCAATAATGAATAATATTTAGTAAATATCGTGGAAAATGGATGTTTCAGCAATTTTTTAGGTTCGATGCTGTTTCTCGGATTCAATGCTGTTGGCACGTCTGGCAATTTAATTTCGATTTTGGATTTGTTAATCATTTAAAATTAATTCATTTTCATTTAAGAAGTTTTTTTTCTTAATTCATTTTCATTTAAGAAAGTTTACTTCTTCAGAATCTTTAGTAAATATCGGAAGGCTCTCTCACCATCTCCATTAATTTCGGGTATCTGGCGACGATGGCTACCTGGCCGACCGGGGCGTCCAGTTCGGCGTTTTCGGCTTGGGCAGCTGAAAGATAAGTTAAATTTACAAAAAACCCATGTTTACTGTTCCCGCTTATTATTATGTTTTCCGATAATCTAAGAATTGATTTGAGCCCGAACTAATATTGCAAACTTTCCGAGAGGTTATTTTCGAAACAATGTTTCAACTAAAAAAAGTTGCGTTGTGGTCGTAATGCTCGATAATTCATGACCGGTTTTCCTTGAAAGATTAAATTAAGTTACTTGTAAAACTTTTTACCGTAGATTTTGGTTGCAAATAGGCCGGAAAATCTATATTTTTGCCTTTTTAATAAAAATTTGTGAAGTTTTAAGGGTTGGAAATAGCAAAAATGTTTTGAAAAACAATTCCTCTATGTATATTAGAAAAATTGGACCATTAGAAAAAAGACTGCAATTCTTTTCATGCCGATCCTTCGATCTCGTTTACTAAAAATATCAACTAAATAACCTAATGCATACCCAATTTTGTTAAAAAATTTGTACTGAAATTACATTTATTTTCCAGAAAATATGTTTTACATATTCTTATTATTTTTGTTAATAAATATCTTATTAAGTTCTCATAATTAAAAATACACCGCCAATCTTTGTCAATAAAAATGACCTAACCTGGTGCTTTTTTCATAAATATGTTTCAAATATTTTTGTTGTCCCCCGAGTTGGTAATTGGACAATAGTAAGAACTGATATAGTAAAAATCGAAATAATACTTAGTATTAGTTAATTGTTTTATAATATTTCTTCATATTCTTGCGATGAACAATAATGTAATTAATATCCTTTAAAATCAATAGCTTATGCGAAAATAAAACAAATTATACCTTACCCGCCGAAAGATGCGTATAATCCAGACCAACGAGTGCGCCGAGAAGAATAGCTTTGCCATAGTAAATTAGGAAATTAGGGTATTTAATAATGGTATTTTTATTATTATAGCCTGATGGCATTTGGTAGTCAAAAACTGAAGCTTCCGGCTATTATTTAACTACCCATTTTTCGTCACACCCCATGCCTTTTGGGTGAAACATGAGATTTCCCGCAAATTTTGGGGCGCCAAATTAATCGGCAAATTGCCTATTGGGGCGCGTAATTTGAGAATCCGCATGTAAAAATTGCGACAAAAAAATTGTATTAAAGGGATTTGCAAGTTTTATTCCCTAAGAATCTCTGCTAGTCTGCTAGGAACACAACAGGGCGGTATAGCGATTAAAGGTATCGGAAAACAACTGATTAGCGGGATATCCGAAACATCTTTTCGATCGAAGATCAATCCCAGTTTTTCCGAAGATTTTTGATTGTTTTTTCACTGGAAAATTTAATGTAATTTTTGGAAGACTTAATCGGCGTTACTAGGCATTTCTAGCCGTGTAGGAAAAATTCAGCCCACACACCAACCCCCCCGATAATGGGAAAGAAACGTTATAAATTTAACCCTTTTCGGGAAACTCCAAATTTTCAAATTTAAAATTAAATTAATTTTTTAAATATAAAGTAACAAAAATATTTAAAAAATGCATGTGTTTCATCGACAGTTAAAGAATAAAATTTTTAAATCGAAAGTATTTGATCAACCTTAACGGGACAAAGAAGTCAGGATTTGAGGGTTTGGGAATAGAAGCTATGTGGGAAAAAATTACAGAATAACTACGTTTCATTGTGGAACAAAAAACGCCCGCGTGAATTATCTGCCGCATGCTCTGTAAGCCGTTCCATTCATCGATCTAGTTGATTCCTGGCTCAATTTAGTATTAAACTTATCAAACTTACAATTTAGCATTAAACATGTTCCACTTTAATGAGCGAAAAGTATTAAAATCGTCTGAAGCTTCGAGAAATTGCGCAGTATTTTCAAATTCACGCAAATTTCGACACTTTTCTTGCCAAGCCATGGCTTAGAACATGTATTTTTCAACTTTTGTAGGGGACAGCGCTGCGGCATTTTAAGGACTGAGACATCTCTGTGTTTGCATGATTCGTCATTTCGGATCGGATGCTGGATTTTCACGTCCTTTGGTTTTCGAGGATATGATTTTACGCCATTTTTTCTGCAAAAATGATGCAAATTACACACAAAATCGGGAATCGGGATATCGAGAGATCGAGAGATCTCCGTTTTTGAGCTGATCCAGCCATCGCTAGTATCCTTTCTATGTGATGATAAGAAGGAGAGAGAGAGAGAGAGAGAGAAGGTCGGAATTTCGGGGGCTCATCCACTAAATCGTAGATCAAAATCCGAGAGGATCAAGGACAGATATACTCCCAAAAATGGCACAATGTTTCAGCAAGGGATCTCTGCTAGCCTGCCCAGTCTGACAATGAAGACATAGTTTTTCTAATCCCAAGGCGACTTTTGAGTTTTGATGTTTCAGTGATATACCTAAAATTCAAATTGAATAATAAGCGTATATCCTTTGAATGTTTGTGATGTCGCCTTTTCGCCGTTATTTTTTAGATTTTTTAACACTTTTAAGATTTGCCGGTCTCATTAAAAACCCAGGAATTAGTTAGTTTCTAGCTCACGGAAAGGCGCCTAGAAAATTAAACTGCAAAAAAACGAAAAAGTATCGAAATTTAAACGTAAACGGGAGATGTTCAATTATTTTCAATTGCATTGGGCACAGCTTGTCGCAGATTGGAACTTATAGTTTTTAAATTGAAGCTTAAACTTTGAACAAAACGAAGGATAAATATTTAAAAACACTACTTTATCGGCAGGATGCTGAGAAAGATCGTGTTTCAAGTGTGAACAATAAAAACTTCTGATGAGGTGCGAATTTATTCATACATCAAATTATACAAGTTATTTCTAGAATTTTTGTATTAACGCTAAATTAAGCACAACGTAATTTGATACGACAGATTTCAGAAAAAAAATCGTGTTTCAACGATCAATAATAGCCCCACATCGATCTACCGTGTTAATCTTCACGATTGGTCTCCATTATATCTTTATTTCTGAAATTTTCTACAAGAAGAACAAAGTAAAAACGTATCTTTTTGCTTCCACCGATTGACGAGTAAAATGGTGTTTCGATAATGAAAAGTAGACACGTGCCCTCTGGCGTGTTAATTTTCTGATTCTGTAAGTCATTCTGTTATATATTTTTATTTCTAAATTTTTATTAATTTCTGGAATTATAGCGTTATAGCGTTATATCCTATTAAAGCCTTTTGTTATTCATTTTTATTAACAAAAACGTATTTTTGATATGGCAAAACTTGGAGAAAAATGGTGTTTCCACAGTGAAAAAGGCACGCGCTTCTATTGGCGGTTTAATGTGTCCAGGTGAGGTTGGATTATGTATTTTTCGATTTTCTACTACTATTTGCTATAATTTATTTGACTACTATGTTTGCTATTACTTTCCCCAAGATTCCCATGGCCTCTGACCTCACGCAGTGTCTGTCTGATTTTTTTCTAGGCATCTTTTGTGGCTGGGAGCGAACACGTCCAAGTGCAATCATGCAAATCGACCCTCGCAGTATTTGTTTTGTATTTTTTTTCTCCCGTTGATTATGTTATTTATTTAATAAATGTAGAATAATTGTTAATGATTTAATATTGGTTGTATTTCAAAATAACGCAAAACCACCCCATCATTTTATATTTTACTATTTATTTGATTAAAAATGTTTACAAGAATGGTTCATCCGCCAAATAACTGGCTGCGGAAAGCTGGAATCTGTTTATGTCTAGAAACATTTTTCGGTAAAAATGTTTATGTTATTTTTAATATTGTGTTTCTGGTGCGGTCGTTAATTATTTCCCGCGGCTAATTTTTTCTACTTTTTTAGGTTCATATAACATTTTTCGTTTGTTTCTGCGCTTAATACCCTTATTTTATATTTTATTTGCCTTGTTGAAGTTTTGATTTTAGCTTTTTTTTGTGTTTTGTTGTTTGCCCCATATTGAAGTTTGGTGCATTGCAAATTATTGGCTCCAAATTGAAACGTTTTATTTCAGGCCACACAAAGAGCGGTTCTAATTAGACCTTTACGGAATTACGTCACCTGCCATTTTCGTATAACATTTTTTTCGGAAAAATGTTTCTCTTAAATTGCAATCTGGCCGGTCTAACGCGCTAATCATTGGATGAGCGCTAGCACAAAATCTTGAGTTTATCGAATTAAGTTAAAGGCAATTTTATTCAAAGTTTTTCATGTTAGTCGCTAACTCAAGCTTATTTTCAGCAGAATTTTGTGCTCATTAGCTTTTTAGCTAGTTTTTTGCCGAAACACGGTGAAAAGAGATGTAAATCACGGTCTCCCACCTGATATTTTGGGAACATTAATTTCGAGATTTTTTCATAAATATAACCAATTTAAATCTATTAAAATATATAAATTCCATCTCGTCCCGTTGCTCCTTTTTATTGATCCCATTATTTGAGCATTCAGCTCTCAAAATTCGTCTAAAAGAGATGTGGATATTATACACTAGACCCTTAATTTCTTTCTGACTCAGGCAACAATGTAAAACACTTTTTATAGAACAGGCACTTTTTCTCCATAGCCGTGCTTTTATGATGTATCACAGTTAAAATATAGTTTAACAGCATCTATAACCATTTAAATGTAACAAACATTTTAATTTTATGAGGAATGGCAAAAATATGTTCCACAAAAGAAGCGCAAATTTGCGGTTTTCCCCTATATAATTCCTGCTGCGTCTTCTGTCGCAAAATGTCCGTTTAGATGTAGTTTATGTTTTTCAAGCTTTTTTGGAAATCCCTCTTTCCCATTTTCCTCGGTTTTGGCCTCGTGATTTCCAGTCTATCCCAGGTCGCAATTTTGCTTCTCTCTCTTTCTGTCTCTCTCTCTTTCTCCCTCTCGCTCTCCCTTCCAATATCCGTTTTTCTGCCCGGCTTGAGTAAAATTCTGTCGGGATAGGGATGTTCGAGTTGGTGGGAGAGTCATCATCTCGTAAAAAAAATGCCTTTTCCGACCTTCCAGAACGTTCTCTCTCTCTCTCTCGCTTCCATGCACAAATTGCGGGACAGCAGAAACCATAAAACGCCCAAAATTGGGTGGTCGACCATTAAACCGCCGATCGGGAGTTCGAGGTCTCCAAAAAACCAATAACCCCGTAGCGTGAAATTAAGTATGTTTCACTAAATCTTAAAAATGGGAATCCTACGCTCAACCAATAAAGCTGCGTGAGTTACTAAATACAAGCTATGATTTTCATGTATGTTACCACCGCTCTTTTTAATACTCTGCTAATTCGAAAGAAATGAGGAAAAGAATGTTGCAATAAAACTGATGACTATATAATTATTTATTGATACAGTGGAAGCCACGAAATGGCGAAAAATTACCGAAAACGCGAAACTTACATAGGAAATGCAAATTTTGCTTAATCATATTTACAAAAAAAATCCATTGAATTGGTTAGATTTACAATAACGCAACGATTAACCAGTCTAATTACCTACGCCAAGCAAAAAATGAGGAAAACAATGTTTCAAAACAATCGAGGAAATGAGAATTATTTATCGATGCAATAGCAGCCAAGATATTCTGAAATTACCGTAAATAGGGTGCGGAACGTAGTTTGTGGTTTTTATTAGCTACTTTTTCGCCTTCCCCGAGATGAATGGAAATTCCTTGTTTGCCTGCTACCAAGCCCAGCCAAGAAAAAAGGTTTCGGAAAAAATTCAACCCACCAATTTTGGGATCTCCCCTAGTTTGAAGAGTTTGGGTATATCAAAAAAAGATGTCTCTCACTTGGTCCTATACAAACAATTTCCGCTTCCTGTACTAGACACTTGTGAGCGCCACTGTAATTTACCAGCTTTTTAGTCTTTTGAAGATATCTCCTTTGCGCACCAATCAAATCAGGCCGTTTTTCCGAGAAGTACGTTAAAAACGTGTTAATTGAAAAATGTTTCGTAAAAAACGGAAATTCCGCGCTTTTGGGCTTTGTCTGATCCTAAGTCTAATATGGTGGTAAATTACTGATTCTGGGTAGCCGGCCAAAAATAGATGTTTCTCGCTTTATGCTATACAACCGATTACCGCTCTCTGTACTGTTCATGTGGTATGTTAGAGTCGTTTAACAGCCGTTTTTAGTAGCTTAAAATGTCTGCTTTGTGCATCCATACGAGTCAGGACGGTGTTTAGCTTTCGGCTAAGCCTGGACTTTTTTGGCCACCTTGTGCGCGTATGGAGGTCGGTGTACGTCGTGAAAGAAATGTTTCATGAAAAATTTAAATTCCCCGCTGCAGGGTGTTAACTAATCCTGACTAGTAGCTATTATAGATTATATTGATCGATAAATTTTATTATTAATCTGTCAATTCTTACTTCTCAAAAACACTTTCGCAAAAAAGCTTTGTTTCAGCAAACAAAACATAAACTTTCGCTTACAACATTAATGTTGCTTATTTTATCGTACACTGGCAAGTTTGAATATCGGTAATCCTTCGTCCGACCACGCCCGAACTAAATTTACGAATATTTACGAATATTCAAATATTTGTGTTGCTCCTGTTGCCCTTCCTTTGGAAAACCTTTTTAAGGTGGTTTTTACCAAGGTCAGACCCGTCTAGCCATCGAGCGTAGCGTGGATAGCAATGTTCGAATTTCCGGAAAAAAGCAACCTTTCGTAAAAACTACAAAAAATGGCCTGTTTTCTGGGGTATCTGATCTGGTACAAGGGAGGGTTTCTCGTAAGCTCTTGATTCCAGGAATTAGAATGTTTCGTATTTTTTGGTTTCCATAGAGATTTCGATCACGGTATTAACAAATTGTGAATATGCTTTGCGTCTTCTTAGATGCCTTAAAACCAGGGTTGTTCACGGACGGGCTCGGACGGACGCGGGCCCGGACCCGTCCGCGTCCGAATAATTTGCTCCGGGAGAGCGGACGGGCTGGGACGGGTCCGGGACGGGCCGGACGGGCTCGGACGCAGGAAGTAGCCGAGCCCGCTACGCAAAGCGCGGGCAGCCAAAACT